TATTGGTCCAAGGTCTTTCGGATATTTAAGAACAGTAAATGGTATTACGTACAAATCATATAGAGAAGCATGTCAACAGCTAGGTTTACTAAAGGATGATAAACATTGGGATGATGCATTAGCGGAAGCAAATGAAACAAAGAAGTCGAGTAGTATAAGATCATTATTTTCAATTATTTTGACTTCATGTAACCCATCGGATCCACAATCTTTATGGGAAAAATATAAAAAAATGTATGAGTGAAGATATATTATGTCGGAATAAGAAATTAAATTGTTGTAAAGATTTAGATCATACAGATGAAATATTCAATGAAACTCTMATTATTATAGAAGATATGTGTTTAATAATATCAGGGAAAAATTTAAATCAATGGGGAATAACTCCTCCTTTTCGAACCGAAAATATATCAAAAGATTCAGAAATCATTCGTGAAACGTCGTATGATATTGAAAAACTGAATGCATATATCAATAYTAATAAATTATTATTAATTGACGATCAAAAAAAGGCATTCCAAACAATTATGAAAAACATTATAGAAGAAAAAGAGGGCCTTTTCTTTTTAGATGCTCCAGGAGGCACAGGGAAAACATTTTTATTGAACTTAATATTGGCAGAAGTACGAAAAAGTGGAAATATAGCATTAGCAGTAGCGTCATCTGGTGTAGCAGCTACCCTATTACATGGAGGACGTACTGCTCACTCAGCCTTGAAATTACCGATTAATTTCAATTTAACAGAAGAACCTATTTGTAATATTATTGATAATCCTGCAAATTACTTAAACAAACGAATGTAATCATTTGGGATGAGTGTACAATGGCAAATAAAAWAGGACCAGAAGCATTAGATAAAACGTTACAAGATTTTAAGAAAAATAATTTTATAATGGGGAAAGTAATAGTCATTCTAACTGGTGATTTTAGACAAACATTACCAATAATTTCAAGAGGAACACCAGCTGACCAAATACATGCATGTCTAAAAAATTCTTATTTATGGAAACATGTGAAAATAATTACATTAAAAAATAATATGAGAGTATTTCTWACAGGTGATACTAATTTAGAGAATTTTTCAAGACAGTTAATACTTCTGGGAGACGGAAAATGGGAAAGAAATGCAGATGACACGATCACATTTCCATCTAATTTTTGTCATATCTTAGATTCAGTTCATTCATTAATAATCCATGTTTATCCTGATATAGACAAAAATTATATCAGTCATGAATGGTTATGTGAAAGGGCTATACTAGCGCCAAAAAATGACAGAGTTAATACGATCAATAATGACATATTAAACTCTATTCCAAGGGTATGTAAATCGTACAAATCAATTGACACTGTATGTCATCCTGAACATGCTATATACTACCCTATGGAATTTTTGAATTCTTTAGAAATATCAGGCTTACCATCTCATATATTAACGTTGAAAATTGGTGCACCAATAATGGTTTTACGAAATCTCAATCCACCTAAATTATGCAATGGTACTCGATTATGTGTGAAGACATTAAAAAATAATATAATTGAAGGTATAATATTAACAGGATGTGGAAAAGGAGAATATCACAGAATAGAATCTCTTCTTCCATATGATTGTGAATCATCATTTTTACAAATATTTTTATTGGTGATGATGATATACAATCACAACGTAGATGTTCGATCGTTCCCAATGTGCAACACAAAATAGTTCAATCTTTACAAAATTTTCTAAATGAACACAACACATTAATAAAACTTTTCAATACATCATTAGACAATATGCCGAGTGACGAATGCCAAATTGTACTTCGAGCCGACAAAATACCTTCAAGTGAACACGAAAGACGTTTTAATTTACCAGTTGTAAAGCTGCTATAATTAATGGGAATGAATTTTCAAAACGCAATATTGTGTTACAAAAACGTAGTAATGAGTATGTAACAGTCCAAGAAACCCACAAATCGTATGATGCTTTACAATATCCATTGATGTTTTGGATGGGGGAAGATGGATATCATTTTGAAATATACGAAATAAATCCAGTTACAGGTTTGTCAACAAAGAAACGTGTGTCATCAATKAAATTTTATGCAYACAGAATGATGATACGTACAAATCCAGAAAATCATTTATTACATTATAAGCAATTGCTAAATCAATTTATAGTTGATATGTATGCAAAAATTGAAAATGAACGTTTACGCTATATACGATGCAATCAAAAAGCTCTTWAAGTTGAACAGTATATTCATTTAAAAGATGCATTTGAAAATGATGAAAATGTTTCAGATATGGGTCAAAAATGTATATTACCAGCAAGTTKTATAGGTAGTCCACGACATATGCATGAATATATACAAGATGCTCTTTGTTACGTTAGACATAATGGAAAGCCATGTTTATTCATTACATTTACATGTAATATTCGATGGACAGAAATCACCAATTTATTGTTGGCTGATCAGCAACCAAGTGATCGCCATGACTTAATAGCAAGAGTATTMAAATTAAAATTAAGAAAGCTAATCGATTTGATAACTAAGTGCAAGATTTTTGGTAATGTTAGATCTTGGGTTTATTCAATAGAATGGCAAAAAAGAGGTTTACCACATGCTCATATTTTAATATGGTTAGAAAACAAAGATCATCCAGATCGAATTGATAATATCATTTCAGCTGAWTTACCAGATCCAGAAAAAGWTCCTCATTTATTTGACATAATAAAAAAAAATATGATACATGGACCATGTGGACAGTTGAATCCATTTTCAGTATGTATGAAGGATGGCCAATGTAAATGTAATWATCCTAGAAAATTACTTGATGTCACGAGATCAGATAAAAATGGATATCCTTTGTACAGACGAAGAAGTATAACAAATGGAGGTTTCCAGACTGCTATTAACGTTAAGGTTAATGATAAATACAAAAAAGTGAATATTGATAATCAGTGGATTGTGCCATACTGTCCACTAATCTCGAAAATAATGAATGCTCATATTAATGTTGA